CATCTTTAGAGGATGGAGGGAACAAGGCCTGAGCTAGTCATGTTACTGACTGGAGTGAAGCTTACTGTTTTCATCTAAAAAGCGTAATTCCTGCGTAGTCTTTGTCACAGCTGAAAGTCCTTGTCTATTACTGGGCGACAGGTAGCCTCCTGAATTTCTTCAGTAACTTTATAGTTTCTTACACGTTGGTGACTACATAGGCCTCAGTCTTTTTGCAGTCTATGAGTTGGGTTTTTTAAGCCATTCTGCAATTTTTTCCCTTCAAAGGATAGATTATTTACCAGATAGTAATAAATGATACTAGCCTAGTATTAACTGTACTTTTGTCTATCAGGATCTCTTTTCAAAGTTTCACTGATCGCTATGAAATACTGAGAAAGTCACGTAGGTCCAGCAAAACCAGTGCATGTGATAAAAGCAACTGCCATACTGCCAAGAAAAAAGGTATGTTTGTTTAGATAGACCCTTTGCTATAAAAATGTCCCTGCACCAAGTTGATATCACATAGATCAGATGCAGTAATTGTATTCAGCACTTTGAAACACCCACTATTCTCAAAATACATTTCTAACCTCTCTAAACTGACTTCAGTTTCTAATCTGCCTAATGCATATGGTGGGCTCTTTTAAAAAGAGCAAATCCTTCATCTTTACTACTGCTTTTCCATGTTCCTCTTTGGTAGAAGCAATTAGTTATGAAGTAATATAATTTGATTTAGAAATAGTTAAGTAAACCAGAAAACCACTTACCTTTTTACTTATATTCCTTATCCTTCTTTTTTCCCCCCACTTTGTTTTCTTGCCAAACGCACTGACCTTCTAGCTTACCTGGATTCTGCTGCTTCTTCTGCCTGTTACAAACTTCTGTACACAATTCTTTTTTCTAAACAAGAGCGAGGATGGACATTAAATACATAACCCAGTCTACCAGGTAATGTCTTTGGTGAGCCCCTGAAAAAGGAGCTCATCATCAGATAGTTACATTTAATATTGAAAGTGACTGCAAATCCCTTCCCTGCCCCAGATTAATCCCATCTTCTTGGGTCTTTTCAGTAACCAGTAGGTGTGAGAAATAAGGTCAGTAAGGACCAGCCCATTTCAGATGTGTTTAATGGCTGGAAATCCGTTCACCTTGCTGAAATAAAATGAAGCAGGGAAGTACAGTCTGGAAAATTACTTGCATTCCATATCTTTCTCCCTTAATTATAAACCCATTAGTTAGAATGCTTCATTGTGAAGTTAGTACTCCTTTTTATCTTCAGTGGATTACAATCTGCAAACAAAATAAAACAATTTCCTAAACATGAGGATAAGCTTTTCTTTTCCTATCAGCTTGGTCCCATGAACATAATGATAGTCACCAGATGTCTTTCTGTATGCAAGAGTTGTTTGTATTTGTTTGCAGCGCCTTAAAATGCTCTCATCTCCTCACAAATAATTATAGCAGAAAAACAAACTGTATCCAGGATGAAAAGATACAGTGACTGTCAAGTTCTGGCATTAGGCATGCAGAAAACTCATGCGGCATTGCCTTGAGCAATACAGTCTCCTTAAAGGACAAGTCTGAATTAAGTCTTCCTCCCATGCCAGCTTGAATATGCCACAATGGAGGCAATAATACAGTGCATTAGCATCCAAACCACATCCTCCTTTAAACACATTGAGCTATCTTTCTAGTTGTTAGCACATGGCAAAATCTATGCAGCTGCATTTCTCCCTAGTGGCTAGAACCAGTCATATCTCAGCCATCACCCCCACATGGATGCGGTGTCTCAGTGTAAAGGCAAACCTGGTGTTGATTTCCAAATTTTGCAATACCTTCTTTTCAATACTTCATTTGCAGGTGAGACTGCAGCAGTGGATGACAACAAAGCATCACGTTCTGTTGTCATTGAGATCCTGCAGAATGTTGTTCCAGGACAAAGTGCTGCTGAGCCCACAGGGAAGAGATCAGAGAACACTCCAGTGTATTGTGGCAAAACCAAAGTATTTATGGCTAATTCTGTGGTAAGAGTGCCATTTCCTCAGCTAACAGTTCTGGAATATACTTGTGTTGCTGGTGTTCTCACTGTTTCAGCATGGATGACAGCTTTCCCTGGCTTCTGCTGGTAGCTTAGCTCCTCTGACAGGCCCAAGCAGATCCTTTTTTGACAAATACAAAGAAGGCACTTCTGCACTTTTACAAAGCTTGCACACTGAAGGGTGTAGCTATTTAAAAAACAAGCAAAACAAAACAAAAAGCAACTCTCACTCAGTAGAGCTAATTTTAAGCCAGCTGTTACTGTGACTTCAGGAGTGTGTTTTCCCCCACAACACTTTTTCCCCCTCAGATATACATGCTTTCTACTTTAACCTTACATACTATATATAACTGTATAATAAGCATTAATGACATGCTGTCATCTCTAAAATATAAGCAATCTTGGGACCTGACAAGCAGCAAATGATTGTAGAAGGGTTAAGAACACAGCTCTGTCCCTGACTATTAACTGCAGGTTCGTATCCCCAACACAGCTAGAGCAGCTTGAAGCTAGAAGAGCAGAGGTGTTAAACAAGAAAGCATTTTGCATTCAGTGTTGCTGGAGAAGATTTAAACAGAAGAAACTTGCAAAGGAGAGAAGGTCTGCAACACTCATCCAAGCAGGTAATTGGATGAGAGTGTGGCTGGACATAATGTAACTAGTAACATTTCAGCCACAGTGGGTATTTAAAGAAGGGATATGCTAATTGAACATGGAGAAGGCTTAAGTGCCATCTTTCTTACAATGTCTGCAACAACTGCTGACATTCTTTGTACTTAGATTTCTTTTAATTAAATCTTCAGCTATTCGCTCCTGGTTAGCCAGGAACCGCTTCCAAAGGATGCGCAGGGCTGCAGATGCCATTAAGCATGGATGGAGGAAATGGAAAGTAAGTATGTTGGTACAGAAAAGGATTAAAGCTGAGCGAGTGAAGCTTTGTAGTGGTTTGAGAAATAATCTGCCCCTACCAACTAACTGTACAAAACCCACACTGTCAGTTCTTCAGAAAACATTTCTTAAACTGAAGCACAGAAGATGGATGCCAGTCTTCTACAGCTGCTTGGGAGCTAATTTGTTCTTAATTATCTATAAAATGGGAAACCATCACACACGGTGTCCTATCCCTTACTCTTTATCCCTTATACTTTGTTTTAGACTCTTTGTTTGCAGTTTTAAATTTTGCTCAATATCTTTTCTGCATCTCTTTATCAGGCAAAAATGGCTGCTTTAGCAGCAGTGGAATTAGATGAGGGTGGTGAAAAGGCACCTTTCTCAGCAATGTCAGCCAAATCACCATGCTCTTTGGAAACAGCTTGGCCTCTACGTGCAATCATTCAGCTTTGGCCTCTTGGCCTCGTCCTGTCTGCTGCGCCTGTTACCATAGTGGGACTCCGGAGAGAGCTGTCTCTGCTGGCATGCTTGAAAGTACTTCAGAGGGTTGGCTGCTACAAGATGGAAAGCAGCTTCTTAGGTTGTGGCATCACTTCTATTAGAGCTCTCCCGCAGGTAAGATACCTCACACAGCACAACTAAACTGTCATGAGGTCAGGATCCTAGAACAGTACTGGCACAAAGTCTGCTGTCAGTCTAGTTTTTCTTTCTTTCTTCACTGCTTTAGATATGCAAGGATGATTCTGATGTTAATAGGTCAGGTAAGACATGGGTCTCAGCTGTGAGACCAAAGCATGAAAGTTCTTGCTAGTCTGTCATAGGAACAAACTGATCAAAGTTTCTAGTTGTACTTACAAGTTGCTTGTATAATAAGGCAGTGCTTTGTCTGAACAGTGAAACTAGATCACAGTTCTGCAAAGCACCAACTGGCCTCTCCACCTTGTTTTCTTCCAGGGCTCTGTCAGGTTTCACTGCAAGAAGTCTCCCCTGCATTACGCAGATGTCAGTCCCCACACAGCTGCCTATTCTGTCACTGGTTTTAACCAGATTTTATTGGACAGAAAAGAACTGCTTCCAACATAACTTTTGGCCATCCGCATGTACAGAACATTTCCTTCAGGGAAGGACTGCCTGCAGGCTGCTGCTTTTCAAGTTACTCAACGTCCCTATCTGCTGCTACCTCAGTTTCCCATAATCACACGTATAATCAATGTATGCATATTATAATTCAAATTTAGAATGCAGGGGAGGCATTCCTCCTCTCACACACTCACGTACTAGAGGAGATAATCAGTACTATGAGAAAATAGATCAAGTGCTTTAAAAAGTATATACTGGAACAGAACACTTCTAGCTGTACATGGCCAAAACAAGAGGCTGGTAATGAGACAGCAAAAAAGGCAAACACTTCTGATGTGTGCCGGGCTCTTGTTGGGAGGTACCACAAACATTCAGTAACCTGCGACCAAGGAAGTAAGTAGCACTCAACTGTAACACGAAAGGCAGATGTCTCAGGGAAAAGCAAGACCAGAGTCTTGCTTTTTATCTACAGGACCAAAATACATTGTGATCTGTGTGTTTCTAACATGACCTAGCCAACAGCATTACCTCTGCAGAGGGACCAAGGTTCTCATCAGGGCACACTATACCACCTCTGTTATGTACGTGGGTCTTGAAAATGTTCAGCTTTTCTGTGTATGCCATATCTAAATAAACTCTTAAGTATCTTGTGAAGGCGTATGACTATCCTCAACAAGGTCAACAAAAGCATTTCGGGTTCATTTTGTGAGTTAAGACAAATGCCAGTATATTTAATATAATTGTTACTGGGAAGTGGTATTTCCCACAGGTGACAGGATTTCTGTACCAACAGAGGGCAAGTCCACATAATACCAAATTCAATTCCTAGCATCTATAAATTTGTCCAGCACTACGTCATTATTTATCAACTCTAAAATGAAAATTAGAGTGCTGACATTCATGAGGAACTGAACTGGGGGGAATACATGGCACAGTGCACCGTGGGGTGCTGCAGAACGGCTTTTGTAAGAGGAAAACCTGAAGGAACAAAAAATATTCCCACGCTCACTCAGGAAGAATGTTCTCCTTCTCTGGGGGTTCCACAATCCTCAAGCAGCAATCTGCAAACTCCACAAAGAGTGGCTCCTGCATGTATTTTTTCATGAGAGAGCTTTTGTCTTCTGCTTGGTCAATGGTCAGCAGCAGCTGCCTGAGGTGTGGGTTCAGCAGCAAACCTCTCAGTTCTTCTGATTCTCCTTTAAAGACAAGGACAAAAGATAATGAGTATCATGTTCACCTGAAGTCCCCACTGTAAAGGATTTGGTTTCTGTTAAGTGATGCAGTTCAGCCCTCAAGCCAGAGAAGGCAGAAGCCCTTTCCTCTATCAGAACCAAATCAGAAGATTAATCCCTGCATCCGCATGAAATCCACAGCAAATCCCACTTTGGAGCAAAATCTATGAGGTCACGCTCTTGTGATAACCAAGCATGGATACAGAACTTATCACAAACTAAATCTTCACTTTCTGTTTTTATGCATTTCCTCCACCAGCACACGATCTCAAGTCAGTATCAGGGGCAGGGTCCTCCCTAGAGGCAGGGAACAGACTGCCCAGGGCAGCAGGCACAGCCCTGAGCGGCTGGGGCTCACAGGGCGCTGGGACACAGTCGTGACACAGGGTTCGGGCAGCGCTGTGTGGAGCCAGGGCTGGGCCTCAAAGCTCCCTGTGGGTCCACTCCGGGTGGGACTATTCCGTGATCCCGCACGGCTCACTACGCGCAGTCACAAACGACGCCATAACCATCCCTACTTTGCCGGCGCACCCCCAAAGAGGCACCGAGCGGTGGCTGTCAGCGCCATAACGTCCCGCCTGTTCGAGGCCCCCGCCGCCCCCCGGCTCACCCAGCAGCCGGAGTTTCTGCAGCGGGACGCGGTCCTGCTCGTCCTCCTCTGTCAGTATGTCGGCCACAGACCACGCGCCGTCCGCTTGAGAGCCGCGCTGCGCCGCCCGTTCCTCCGCCGGCCGTTCCCTCTGCGGCGCGCATCGCTCTGCGATAAGGGACAAGGCCCGTCACGGCCGCCCGGCCCACCGCACCGCACCGCACCGCGCCGCTCTCTCACTCACTCACCTCTGTGCGCCTTGCAGCACGGCACGGAGCAGCTGCGGGATGACAGCCGCCATTAGGCCGGCAGGCCCCTCAGAGAGGCGGCCCGCAGCCCCCCGCCCTTCGGCCCACCGCCCCGCTCCCCCCCGCGCCGCCGCCCCCCCTCCCGCCCGGCGCTCACTATGCGGCAGCGCAGCGCGGACAGCGGTATTTGGCGGCGCCGTCCGCCCCGCACACCGCGCACGGCCGAACCGCCCGCATGGCCGCCCGCAGCGCCCTGCCCCGCCCCGCTCAGGCCGGGTAGCAGAGCGCCGAGCGGGGACGGCCGGAGCGGAACAGCGGCGGTGGGAGGGGCCGGCGGTTCGGGGTGATCGTGCGCGGGTCAGGAGAAAAAAAAACATCGAATCGTTCCGGCTGGAAATCACCGAGTCCGTCCCCACCATGATCACTAAGCACGTCCCTAAATGGGGTCACAGAGCTGACCGCGATCTCCCTGAGCTGTGTGGCGTAAAGAAAACAGGAAAGAGGTTTTAAGGCAATGATGTAAAATGCTGGGTACATGGTTTGTTAATGTAACGGCACCCGCCTCCCTGTTACACCAGCGGGCGGCCGTCTCTCACATAAACTCCATTCCTCACAGGCGCTGCACAGCAGTTCCTGTGAACACGATTTAACAGCAGCAGCATTTAACAATGAACGTGTGTCATTTGGGTCTATTGGTCATCGCCTCCAGGTTTGTCACTATGGGCGAGGTGGGAGAACAAACTGGGCCGTTGAGACCCTCCTAGGCAACATTTCCGTGTCATTCGATGTAAGCATTCATTTAGCCCAGGATCTGACCAGTTAATTAAGCAACAACCATTTCCTCTTTGGAGAGAGGGAGGGAGGGGAGACCTTTTCCTTCTACAAAACACGTGCTCTTGAAGTTTTTATTTCATTTTGCTATATGCCATGACTACAGTTCTGACAATGAAACCTCCATTGAGGTTTTCTCCTAAATCAAATCAAATGTCAGTGGCCACAGTACACGAGCGTGCTGCCGTTCTCAAGCAGGGACACAAAACGTGTGGTCACAGAGCTCCCACAGAAGCACTGCAGATACACCGACAACAGAAAAACTGCGCCGAATGCCCCAATAACTGATTCATCAAATACTAACAGATACGATGTCACATGCTGCAAATGAGAAAGTAACGTTACATTTTCCCCTACACAACTGAACAAAAAAAAAAAAAAAAAAAAAAAAAAAGCCACAATCTGAGCAGCAAAGAAAGCACGTCAGAAGCGGATTTCCAAACGCCAAGCAAACACAGCTGACGGGGTGTGATTCGTTCCCAAGCAGCGCGCTCCCGTCTCCCATCCGCACAGCAGCGCAGCTCGCCGAGGAGCCCCGCGCGGCGCCCCGCCCGCAGCCGGCCCGGAGCTGTTCCCGCCGCGGGTGCTGAAGCGCCGCAGCCGGCGGAGGGCTCGGCCTTCGCTTCGGGGCGCTCCCGCTGCCCTGGAAGCAGAACAGAGTCCACGGAGCACAGGGGCGGCCGCGGTTAGATGTTCGCGATGGTGCAGGCTTGGAGACGTTTGCCAGAAAGGCATTTCAGAGACTTGAGTTTAGCCCCTAGGGTTTTGGTTTTCAGTGTATATATGATGGGATTTCCCAAACAGTTCATGGTTATCAGCATAGCTGTGCAGTTTCGGAAGATGTAGACGCTTGGATAGAGATCGAGGGGGCACTGGTGGTTTATTGCATCAAAGATGACTCCTGCAAAAAGAGGAGCGTAGGACACCAATGCCAGGAGCCATATAAAAATACTAGTTCTGGCAACCTGGATTTCAGCTGATTTGTAGGTACCGATAGCTTGCCCACACGCTTTCATTCTCAGCTTTCTTTTCCTCAGGATCATAATGATTCTAAGGTAGGTGAACAGAGGAACAATAAAAGCTGCCACAACATTGGGAGTGGTGATGAAGATGAGGTAGTCAACACAAAATGGACTGTAGAGGACTGAGAGATTTTTTCCTGTGTGCAAGCAGTTCCACCCCATCAATGGCAGGCAGCCCAGAAAGAAAGCAAGGACCCAGTTAATTAAAACTACAGCTATGGAATGGTTTCTAGCAACCCTGAACCTTGTCCTAATGCTTTCAGCCACAGCCAGGTAGCGTTCAATTCCAATGCTTACCAAGTTATAGATGGTGGATAAAATAGATGTAGTATATAAGGCATAAGGTGCAAGCATATCCTTGGATCCAAAGATTGTGTCATCAGGTTTGGTGATGAACAGCACTGAAATCCAAAAACCAGAAAAACTTGTGAAGAGATCAGAAAAAGCCAAATTGCAGAAGAGTACAGAGATAGGCTTGTGCAGATCTTTTGTTGCTTTTCTGGTGATGATGGCTGTGCAGTTGAAGATCACAGATGCTATGTTAATGGTCAGCTGAGGGATGCCCAGTGCAAGCACTAAATTACGACTCCAAATTTCCGTATGGTTAGCAGAACAGTTTGAGTATCCATTCATGGTGGAAAATCCTAGATTCAACTGGTAACCATTTGCTTCGAACATCTCCTATTCTGTAAGAGGCTGTACTACTTGAGTGCTACTGTCACCTTGTTTTTCAATCAAAACATGAGTCTTCAAACACAGCTTCTATTGGCACATCATCGTCATGACAGTGGATTAATCTTTAACCACTTGTGTTTTTAAATATTTGGGTTACCAACTCAGAGCACTTCAGTTGCTAGGATAGCTAAAATTGGAAAACACATTTACTACTATAGAATCAATCTGCTTAAAGCAGCTTTTATCAAGAACAAAATTTGGTTCAGGCATTCAGAGATCTCCAATTTTAATCCCTCTAATTGCCCCTACTCAGACCGTACACAAGCAATGGACAAAAATGCTGACATTAAGCTGGAGATTCCTTATTTCTGTCACTAACCTAGCCACATAACCTGCAATTCTGTTCTTAGAAATATTACTCTGTAAAATAACGAAAGATCCCTCTTTATACGGACTCCTTCAGTTTTATGTGTTCAATAATCCCTTAACGTACAGTTTTAAATCTTGATTGGAGGACAACAGAATCAAGTTGGTTACTGTCTCTTGCTTACAGTTACAAACCAATGGGACTGATGGTGCCTGTTTTTCTAAATATGGTTAGATCATATCTACAGAACAAACCCCAGCCTAGACAGCAAAATGGCAAGATCAACAGCAGCACTACAAAAGTGCTCCCAAAAGGGGAGGAGGTTCCGCCTTCAACGTAGCTCTTGTGCTTGGGCCTACAGAAATATCTCAGGAAGTACTGAATGCTGGAGTACTCAGAAGTTCTCAGAATACACCTAAAATCATCTGTATTTTCCTTCTCTTGTATAAATCAGAAGTTGATGTAGAAACATGACAGGCATTTATGCTGATACCATTGCAGAGGGATATTTTGTTTAGTTTTTTAAAGACTTGTACATTAACAAAGCAACAGAACATTACTGTATCTTTCTCTGTCTTTTTAAACTGAAATGATTTATGGGAACTAAGTTTGAAATACGTGAGACTAGGAAAACTATTCTTCGGACGTACATTTATGCTGTCAGACAGCAGAGGGCACTACTGTAACAATTAGTTTACAGTGGGCAGCACGGCAATTCTGAACGCTGGAGCAGTTGGGGTGAGCAGTGAGCACACCCGTGTGTCATTAGCAATAGAGCAGTGAGCACACCCGTGTATCATTACAGATAACGTGGATTTTTTTTTTCCTGCCCAGGAGTGGCTGCTTTTGTTCTTTAATGCTCGATATGGCACACCTCAGGGAGACCCATGTTTTATTTGAGACACCTACATATGGAGAGACCTTTCCAACATGTTCTAGCTGTGACTGGCATTCAATTGCAATTGAGCAGTGAGTTTTTGCAAGCTTTCCCTTGGTGAAAGCATCTAAGTGAAGGCATTTCACTTACAAAGTTACTCCCAACTAATTTGCAAGGCTCCATGTAAGAGTTTGTTGTTGTTACTGTAGTTGGTTTGTACTCCTTCCCCACTCTTTATTGGCATTCTAGCAAAAGATTGACTTTTATTAGTAACAGTTTTATACTATGATATTTACAAAGTAGCTCAGCTAGTGCCTAGGAGCTTTCCACTTTCTGTGCTGTTATCTGTACAGCATAGCAGCAAGTTCAGCTCTCATACTGTAAGTCTGTGAACTATCTGATAGCTCTGACAGAATTTACAGGGCAATAAATCTGTGCAAATCTGATTGGCTTAAAAAGGAAAAAAACCTTCCTGTTAAAGTTGACATTTATGAACATACTAGGGTTGATGTGCAATTAGCACTATAAAATTAATATATATTAGAAATGCTTTGCACAGGTAAGCAAAATATTTCGGACAGTCACTGTGAAATCCAAAGATTATATAGAAATAAGGGCTGAGAACTGATTCACCACGTCTGCTGATTTATTGATATCCTATGAACTATTCTTCTCAAGTGTCACAGCAAAGCATTCTCTGTGCCATGCCTTGTGCAGATTTGGCAGCCACACCCTTGGTATGAGGTTGCTGCTGAGCAAGGGCTCTTATTTCTGTCATCTTCTCAGTGCCAGCACCACAAGTCAGCAGCTCCCTTTAATAACAGCAAATGCAGCAGCAGGTAACGTCCAGCATGGATGGCAGGGGTGGCAGAGGACACCAGATCAATCTGCATGAACTCCCCATCTCTCCCGATTACTTTCTCTGTGACTTTGTGAACTGGAGGGGGGCTGAGGGCTGTGATGACAGCAGGCTAGCTACAAAGGACATCTTCAAAAATCTTTCAGAAACTACCTAGAAATTGAAAACCTAGAAATAGAAATGCATAGCCATGAAGCTGGGCTCCAAAATGCCCTATTCCTGAAGATGCTACTTGTCTCTAGTTTAAGAAGTTGATGTTCAATGATGAAGTATGAATTCAGAATGTAATTAAAAATAATACTGAGAAATATAAACGGCTCTTAACAAAACATTTTGTAATTTTAATTCCCTGACAGAACTGCATAAAATTCCCTAATAGAACTGCATAAAATTAGGATGGAAGACAGTATTATTATGGAAAAAACTTTTTTAGTCCGCTTCAATATAAAGCAAACAAACAAACAAACTCCACAGATCTGTACATCTCAACTCTGATAAAGTCTGACCTCTTGTAAGAATAGGTGAAAAGTAGTTTCAACTGAAAGCAAACACTTTGTGAGGTAGAAGGCGACTGTGTTACCAAACCCGCACGTATAACAATGTCCACTCAAGGTGATTCTTATCACGTATTCTGAGAACTTCATAATCTTATTATACTTACACCCACAACACACCTGTGAGGTGTGTTACAAATTACAAATTATTTGCATAAGATCACATGAAAGAACGGCACGAACAGAGGTAAACCTAGGCTAAAACTTTAAACACTGGCTGTGCCTTACTACTAGCAGGCATTTGATTAACATTTACCTCGATTTCACCCTCTCCACTGCTCTTGTTAGTACTGTTTAGTAATTGTTTTTGAATTTCTTTATCTGAATATCCAAACTGCTGTTGTTTTGATTTTGTTGTGAAAGACATGGCATTACTTTATTTTGTGAAAAAGATCCCAGCAGTAGCAATAGCAATAGCATACTTTTCTCATTGACACCTCCTGGAATCTATGAGTTTGATAGCAATTAGCCTCAGATAATTCCTGCAGAGAAGATATTACTGAAGATGCTGAAAATGCTGAAGAGAATGGGACGTGATAAGCCTTGAATTTTTAAGGACCATTCACTTAAAGCAGCCATTCTGGAAAATTTACCTTCACACAACCGAGGCTGTGGTCACAGAAATGCCCAGAACCTGCAAGAACCAATGGTGTTTGGCAGCCCTCAGAATAACAGGTCCCAGCTGAGACATGCCAAAGGAGGTTTCAAAACAGGAAATTAAGCTCCAAAACTGAGACTCTTAGCTCAGCACAGTAACCCTTGGACAACATACACTTCCACTTTAGCACCCTGCAATTGCAATTCTCTTTATGCTGATTATGCCCTGAGAATTCAGTTATACCTGACACTACAGCAGAAAAAGCTGCATCATGTCACGAAAATGAGAGCTCCATAGCATAACCACAGTACAGCTGATTTGGTCCTACCTTCAAAGTTGCATACTCAAACTGTATGATGTATATATATATATGTATACATGCTTTCTTGGCCCTCACCATGAACACAAAGTGAAGACAATCATCAGGTTTGAATGTTTCAGATGTGTTAAACAGCATTAACTGCAAGACACAAAATAATGGCAATGCAATGCACAACTCCCTCCCTGCTTCTCTTTTACAAGTGAAGTATACAGCATAGTTGTTTCCCTTCCACTTTTTACAAAGACCCTTTGCTTTTATTTCCCATCGCTTTTCTATCGCCCGTCTTCCCTTCCCCATAGCCCTGAGCAACTAGGGATAATAAACTGGTTGGGCTAACATTTTACCTCTTGTGTTTTGGTCTCACCATGTACATACACTAAAAGAACCTCCTCTCCCTCCTACAAATTGGAGTCAGTCTCACCTACACAAGCCTTAGATCTTCTTTCTAAGTGTACGTTCAGCCCAGCTCCCCAGCACAAAGAGCTGTGCCACTGTCCTGGTTTTGGACACAGACTGAGCTCCAACCTGCTCTCATCCTGTCCTCTCCGTGCTGCCGGGTACAGAGGAACTGCAATCATTCGCCTGGGAGGCCACGAGCAGCTCTAGACTTCCTTTCTGCAGCACATGGTAGGGTCATTTGGCTCAGGCACATGTGAGCTCCATTAGATGTCACGTCAGTCCCTCCGAATGTCCTGTGAAGCCCTCTTGGTAGTAGCAGGCTAAGGTTGGATCTCACACATTTCATAAGCCAGACTGAGGGAAATAAGTCAAAACCTCTGCAGCTGTACTCCACAACACAGATACAAATGAAGTGCAATTTTCACTGTTTTTAATGTTCTCTCCTGCTCTTATCTATCCTGTAGCTACAGACACAGCTGCAACTACACTGCCTGAAAAAAAAAACCTTGAATTTTATGAATCCTGCAAAACATTGGCTCTTTGCTCCTCTGACATGGATCCTTACATGCATTTAGGTCCAATATCCTGTGACATTTATAGAAAACCCACCTGCACTGCAATTCCTTCAAAAAATGTTTGTGGTGCAAAGATGTCAGAGGGAACTGATAACAAAGCGTCTGGTAAGTTTGGTTACATAAAAAGATTGTGCCTGCCCTCATTATTTAGATTGTAAACTTCATATGGTTAGGGAATATATTTCACTGAGTTTAAACACACTTTCTAGCACAAATGAACATGACTGCAGTGCAAATTATTACCACTTAAATAATGAGAACCTGGAATCCTGAATTTCAAGAACAACGTTTTTAACCCTTGGATATTTCAGCCCAAATCAGAGTGTTTCTAAGAACTCTCAGCTTCCAGAAAGCTGAACACAAGTAAAGTGAGAAAAACTTTATCACAGAGCTTTGATTAAACTCTCTGACTGAAGACCACCCCCGGGGCATGAAACCAGAGAAGCCCAAGTGTAAAACATCTGATACGTGCCCTTGAAGGCAGGCACCTGACACTGCCATGCTCACAGCCCCGCTCCACTCTACGTGCTCAGCATGCACCTTGCTTAGATAGCTCCACAGAGATTGCTGAACTAGGAAGTTCAAAAATGCAGTGCATTCCCTTATTGTTCTTATCACTGCAGTAGCTATTTGTCTTAGCACCATGTGCTAGGCAAATCATTGTCTGTTCGTGCTTTAATCTAATCCAAGACGGAAAAACACTAACCAGCAAATCTTCATTGTTGGAATGTTATTTATAGCTATCTTTTTTATGAATAAAGTCAGCTGTCAGATTTCCCATTGTTATTACAGCCCTGATCCCATTTGACCCCAATATAACGCCACAGTGGCCTTGCCCTCCACCTGAGAGCCCACAGCTTTTGGTAAAGGCATAAAGGTCCGCAGTGATCAGTCAACATAATGCCACACCACAACCTTTACACTCCTTCCTGGAGAGGCACTGGGTCAAGCGTCCTGCTCTCCTTGCACCCAACCCAGGATTTGGGTTGCACACCCATGGAGAGAGAAGCATTTGGAAGAATGGGAGAATTTGCATTCCCTGATTTGTTTTCCTCCTCAGCTGTGTCAAAATCCGGTCCCAAATGAAAATTAGAAAATGTGTGTATAACAGAAACTGCAGAACGTAGCAGTGCCACTCTTGTGTACACACCTTTGTTTGTTGAACATAAAGACCGAATTGCACTGAATCAGACACTTGGAATTAAAGCATTCAGATAGGAAAAGAGGACAGAAAAAAAAAATACTAGATATAGTATAACAGAGTACTTATGGCATGCAATGTATATATAGTACATACATGTATAGTACATATATATACACACACACATATATAAAAGAACATTAAGAAAAAGTATGCAAAGGAAAAAAGAAGCATGGTCTCTATTAATCCACTAAAAGCAAAATCAATGTAAGGAAAGTGCTGGCATGCCACCTACTAAACCTTTCCTGTTACTGCACACAGAAATCCCATCCTGCAGCGTCACCAACCTGCTGTTTGAAGGGTTGCTGTGTGCTGTTGGAGTGGGGGTGATTTTTTTGACACGGGACTCTAACATTAATGCATACATTCACAATTACTCTGAAAGTCACGTGTCTGTCAGAGAAAAACAGAAATGCAACACTCAGTAATAGGTTACTAGATGTGCATAGGTTGCAAAGTCTTAGCTATTCACTGCAGGATACTTGTTCAGAGCTAGAAAACTGTATTCCTTTTGCCATTCATTTTGGAGAAATGACTTCAGGCAGATCGTGAGTAGAGTAAATCTGGGGAAATTACAAGGGGGAGGAGTTCACCTTCCTGGCTATGGCTTTCAGGTCTGTCCAGGACTACTTACTCCAGTATAAAACTGAGAGCAGAAATATGATCACATACTAAGAAGTCTAATCAATTCTGGTTTCAACACTGAGCCTATTTAAAATAGATAATGGAATTGCTGTTCCTTGTTCTGTTCTCTCTGCACATTCTCAAGACAGAGGTAGTAGGTAAGTCCTTTTCTGTTATTTCTAACCCCATCTACCAAGGTTACTCTTATTTATTATTTGTTTCTGAGCATTGGAGCTTACAGGGCAAACTCTCTACTTCTTCAATATGAAAAAATGAATGTTTTATCTATTTCTCTGCCTTTTTCATTTGTGGGAAAATATCAAATACAGGTTTCTCTCATGAATAATGAGTGTTGATTTTTTTTCATCTTTAGAAATTCTAGTTACCTTCCTCCTCCAAGAAAAATCACTGGGGTTTGGCTTGATCTCTGTGGTTATTCGTACGTATATGCAAAAAATTAACAAACAAGTAAAATAATGTGTTTCTTAAAACTTCAAATGGCTTATTTTAGATTTCTACTCATATTGCTTTGTCATTTATAAGATCAAATTCTTATAGTTGCCTACTGAGAAGGAGCAATATGTCTTTTGCTGCATTAGCCCAGCAGATCCATCTATTTTTGCACTCTATGCACTATGTACGTAAGTGCACTGTGCACTTACATTGACTAGTTTAAATAGCAATCTATAATTAGTATTGAAAAAAGGAGATATTTTTATGCTTCTATTAAATCAGCAGCACTATAACATTGAATAAATACCCTTTCCTATGTAAATATCAGCACACAGTCTCAAAATTAAAAATAAACACTGCAGTCCTTAATATAATGAAGGGTCTATTGTTTGCACTAAAATAGACAGGACTGCATTAAGGGGAAAAAAAAGATACAGTATTATCAGAGGTATCAGAGGGAAGCAGTGCACCAAGAGCCCATTAAAGGGACCTGGTTTTAAAGCAGCTCAAGATTCAGTTTCCAGACTTAAAGTAACAGAGGGTTCAGGTACTCAGATACAGCCTTAAGCACTGCATAAGCACTGGGGTAATGATGGTGTTCCTCACATTTTATTTCTTTGTTCTAAATGCTCCATAACCAGTAGCTTGCCTTTTCCAGATCCATACCTCACAGTTCTCTCTTCTTCAGTCTGTATTTTGTAGCTCTTCTGTCTCCAGAGGCTTCCAAATGTAGTACAGGTACAAAACAGCAAAAAGAACCCTTGCTCTTCCAAAGTCTACAACTATTTGCTTGATAGAAATCTATAACTGATTAATTAATATTTTGCTAAATTTACTGTTCTGTTAAGGCATTTATTACAGAATCTTAGAAGACCACTTAGAAAACCCATATAGGTATTATTAAATTAACACTAGCAATTAGTATTTTAACAGAAAGAATCAACACAGGGAATGCATGTAATACATTTTGTTCTTTTTTTCCCCACAATCTGTTACAATTTCCATTTCTTTTCTGAGTGTAGAATTAATGGCACAGACATTAATGCTCAAGAAACTTGCTGTCTTCTCACCTTCCTTTCCAAATCTTTTCATGAGGTAGAAGCTTCACAGGGTACATTACATGCTACCTTAAAGGCTGGACATTTTAAGAAGCTATGACTTTTGAGCATCTGCCTAAATAATATTTTCCTGTATCTTTTTCTTTTTCCTGCTCTTGTCACTTTTCAGAACTACCTTGAGACTTACCCCCTTATCAATACATTTAACATGCCTGTACCAGGCTGTTTCCTTACTACAGGCAGCCTCAATACTCACCACACTTACAAAGCCAATGTCAATAGCTGCTCGTATGTTAAGTTGCTTCAAACTTGACCTCTCTTGGTATCTCAGCATAGAACTTACTTTTTAAAAATATGTATGTTGCTAACAGCCCTCTGTGACTTCACACAGAAGCAAATCGTCTCAGAGATCTATGACCCTCTGGAACTGCTATTAGGTGAATAGAAGTGAAGCAAAGTATCTGCAGTGTTACATCAGAAACTTTCCAAACTTTTTGATAGAGAGCTTTTATGAAAGATACATTCAGTCTAGTGCCATTCGGAGGACAACAATTGCAGTGGAGAGTAAAATATTTCCACCTAGGAGTTTGGTATTGGTGTTAGAGCCAGCTTCACACATCACTGAAAAATAAACTTCTTTAAGAGGAATGGCTGACATTATCTCCAACAAGTTACCTTGGCAGTCTCAGCACAGACAGACTTTTGCACTCAAGTTACGATTGTTACACAAGATATGTTTCTTAGGGCTTCCTTCTCTCCTTTTTTTTCATAGAATCATTCAAGCTGCTGAAATATTATTGGTGCCTTATCTGTGAATATTTACCATAGTCCATATTTATCAGCATATGCCGTGTCAGATCCATTGTACACAAGAAGAAGAGGTCACATTTCGCAAGTTGCTGAATGTGCACTCAGAGCAGGAGACGCCCACTGATAGCACTCTGCACTCCGACTGTCTGCACAGCCAGATCAACTGTACGAGCAACCTTCAGAAGGCAGAGGTTTTTCTAGCTCTGTCCTTGTGACTAACCAGTAATAGCGCCAAGTGCTCAATATCTTCAAAACTGAAAATTCTACTAACAAACTTTTCCATTAAATACTGGGTTAATTACATTTTAGCTCTATAAAAGGGACTGTTGCTGCCAACAGAGGTGCAGCTCAGGATATGATGAGCCACAAAACAACACTGCACATTGCTGGAGGGCTCCTGAAAGGCAGCTAAAAGGCATTAGAGCTGTGTATGGAATGAAATTTGAAATGCTTTTACCTTTGTTCATTTCTGTAGCGAGCCTGCTATAGTATCCAAACACATCCACATTACACATAGGAATCAATTATGTCAGAACAGGAATGCTTTGATTCTCGTCACGTTAGTCGATGTGTGAAGTTGTTGAAGAGCATGCACTGTTTAGTCACATCTTGTAATTTAAATTCATCTGCAGATCCTGACTTTCACTTTAAGAATTACATAAGTTTATAAGATCACCTCTGCTGGCTCTGCTGCACATAAAACCAAAACCTGCCCCTTCACCCTGAACTGCTGAGCAGCCATTGCATGTAGCATGTAGCTCTGAATGACTGCCCAGGTGACATGAATTGTGCTTTGTTGTATTTGTGTTGTGCCTAAGACAGTAGGAGTTGATGCTCTTGAGCAGACAGATGTTTTACTACGTTGGTGCATCCAAGGGCATCACAGCTCCAAGTTCAAAAACCATTGGTCAGCAGATAGCAGCCTGTTTCTGGTGACATGTAACGAGTGGGCAGCTTTCTGTACGCACACTGCACCCAGCCGCATCATCAAAGCTCAATTTAAAGATCACCTTGTGAGAACACCACATTGTTATCAATTTGTACAAACTCACTGTTCAGCTGATCCTCATACAAAATTGCAATGTGCAGCATCACCTCATCCTTCTCAGCATTCAAGCCAGGTACGTTCATGCTGCCATTCACTTCAGTTCTGTGGGAAAAAAAGGAACATTATAGAAAATGTACACAGGAGGTATTCATAGGTGACAAGTAACGTTACTTCAGCTTATAAATTATTTGTCTTTCTCCTACAGCAAAAAGCATTGGATTAACATTTACATGATGCACGTTGTGCAGTGGTACTTAAAACTGGAATCATGACTTGTCATAAATTTTACAGTTGGATTTTGAAAACTGGAAGCAGATAAGCACTTTCATAGCTTCCTCTTAGCTGTTCAAACAACCAGCATAAACCTCAAGGTCTTTAAGGCATAATGCGAGGCTCAGTTCTTCATCTCTATGTCCATCTCCATACAAATATATTTTTTCCCCTCAGTTTGTGGCACTGTAGGTGATGCTTTGTTAACAGGGTGCAGAGCACATGGAATGGTCAGTGGTTAGTTACTAACACCTAGCTGCAGGAACAGTCAGTAGAAATCCAGCATAGAACATTAGAGGAAGGGCTGTAAAACCAGATAGCAATTTGTTTGAATTGAATTTTTAAAATACTCAAGAAGATATTGCTTGAATTTTGTTTGGCACTGCTCTGTTTAAACAAAGCAAAGCAAATTTCTCCACAGAAGCTATCACCTTAGCCCTGGATACTCTATTCTTGCTAAAAGTCAGCTTCCTTTTTTGACATAGGAGATTTATGAGGATATACATGTATGACAGAAGTTACAATAGTATCACAGGTCAGAGATAAAATTATCTTCCTCACTATGTGACACAAAGGAAGCCATTTACAAGTATTTATAAAGTAAACTTAGAACCTCTCAATCTCTATAATCCTCTTTAGCTTATATGCATTGCAGAGTAAGACATCATTGAGCACACGATTTATGTACACATGTGCAAGTTATAAATGCTGTGCTCAAATCAGATGCAGTCCCCTCATTACCATACTAAAGTTTATCTTTGAGCCTAAGTCCCTGTAATGGATTGGAAAGCAACACCTACACACATACATACAGATGCATAACATTATGAAAAATACAACTTCCAAGTAAAAATGAATAGAAGAGAGATGAACGATTACTAGCATTTGTTTTAATAATGCTAGAGATAGATGCAAACATTTGGAACTGATTTTGCCTGTCAGAGTGGTTGATGAGAGCTTCCTGAGAATGAGTAATACCTAAAAGCATATACAAAGACAGATACATACATGCTTAGTTTGTGTTTAGCAAGTCATTAATTAGAAAGACAGACTTAGATTCCGCTTGCACTTAAGTTGCTTGCTCTTTTGTACTAAAGATAATACGTTTCTCAAAGCCAGCTAAAAATACTCCTGTCCCAACACAAACCAAAGCTAAAAATACACCGAGTGCAAAACCAGCACTCGTAATTTCATAGCAAAGGCCAGCCTTCCCTCGGCTGCACGGACCTGACTCAGGCGGCCACCCCGCAGCCAGGGGAGCTGCGGCATTGAGGGCAGCCCGGGCTCCCTGCGAGGCAGGAGCGCTATCAGCTGAGCATCTCGGGAACAAGGGGTTGTCAGAGGACACGGCTGAAAGAGGGTGACGAGATCTTAAGGGGCAAACAAAGGAGCCAGTCAGTGAAAGAGAGAGAGGAGGGATTACAAAGAGCCACAGAGGCATTCTTACTGCCTCGGTACTTCGGCTGTTAGCGGCAGGAAGGTTATTTCAAGAGATGAAGTATGTTTCGTAGAAACAGCTAGCAGTCAGGCCATTATTAAATTGCCAAGCACTTTATTCAAAGGTTAAAAATGGTTTAATTAACTTTCTTCTGGAGACGGGCAAATTAAGAGAGCAATTTTCAGCTAACCAGCCTCCCTGCAGTCAGAGATGCAGGCTTCCAAGCAGGTCCAGGCGGGGCAGTAAGTGGGAACAAGCAGGACAAAGTAGGGAACTTTGATGGAATTCAGGCAGTCTGACCATTGTCCAAAGAGCTGAAGGGTCTTTTCCTACATCACACAATGGCACATTAGCAACTGCTGACGTTCTGGCTTCCAGCCAGAAGCACTGTCCTCTTCCATCCAGCTGCGTAAGTGAACAGAAGAGGGAGTTCTCAACTGAAGGAATTTTTTCCTCTGGCTTCCAAGCTAGGCTTGATAGCTAAAACAATTGAAAACATTTACAATAAAATGAAAACAATGCGTAATTGTATTGTTTTGCAGCTGTTTTGGTGCCAAGAAACAGCTTTGGTCAGGAAATCAGTTGTAAATTTGACAAGGAAGAAGCAGAGATAAGTAGGGCTGCTTACTTGCCAAGACAGACTCCCTAAATTTAACTGCCTGTGAAAGAAGAGGAGGCCTTCAGCCCAGTTCAGCCCTGCTGTAAAGTAAAACTCAGTGAAGTCAGGGTAACAACTCTTATATGGTGCATTGTAACATAAGTTGAGAGTCCATAACGCAGCGTAAGAGCCAGAACTGGATGACGACACAGCAAGTTTAAGTCCAAGTGCACAGGTGAGCGTATGTACACTGCCACGGTACTGCCAAAGGCAACAGCAGCACTGTCTCAAGTTAATGTCAGTAATACAAGGAGCTGTTGGAAATCCTGGTTAGTATCTAATGCTGTCCTAAGCATGGATGCTCACGGCTTAACTCACAAGCTAATGAAATCTATGGGAATGATCTGCGACATCCTGCAGCGCCGCTGATATTACAGCAATGGTTTCAGCACCTCAATTGCAAAATCAAAAACAAAGCCCCCACAAAATATCCTCTGTATTGTTCCAGGTAATAAAGTAAACAACATGAAAGAAAACAGGGGAGCTGAGGTTTGGGCGGAAGAGGAGTGGGGTCAGAGGAATGTCAGAAAGAAGCTTCAGAGAAAGAGAGCGGGACAGACTCTGAAGCAGAAAGGTGAAGGGCAGGTTGTCATGGGATGGGACAAAGGATGGATGCAGCAAGGGCAGGAATTGCAGATTATGAAGGAGCTATCTGAACACTGTAAACATCAGGGAGGGAAAAGAATTGTTTAGGGTGGTTCAGTGATATTTCTAGGAGTGATGGGATGCAGATAAGCAAGTGGAAAATGTAAGCTTTTAAACAGGAAACATTTCCTGACAGTGAATTCTAATAGACTGTGGAAAAGTGTCCTGCAGGAAGTGGCAGGAGCCACCTAGACAATCAAAACTAGACTAGACAACATACCTTAGGGCATAATCATACCTCTGAGCACAGACAACAGACCGAATGTGACAAGTATCTTTCCTATTTGCTTCAGAAACAAAGTCCAGGGGGAAAGAAGGACCATTGTAAATGCAAGGCCCAAAGACGTAGGGAAGAACCACATCTGATTCAAAGAAAATCCAAGTACAAATTTTCCTTGTAAGTGACATGGAGTATGGCAGTATGGCCTTTCCTGAGCTGTATCTATGCAAACATCCCGTTATCTAATGGCGCATTATTGTCAATGTCTCATTCACAAGAAACATTAATTCATTGTTCGTTGCGTTCCACAGTGTTTAATTAGCTCATTGTTTATGGTTTAACAGCTTTAAGGGCCTTTTTCCTATGAATTGTTGAATTGATATTCTGTTCTATTTCCCTGATGCAATCCGGCTTTCTAAACCACAGCTGTGAGAACTACGTGACAGAAAAAGACTTCTTATTTGTAGAGGTTATGAGTTTTGTGGAAAGTCTGCAACAATTAGATACTGGTTGTTTGGTGTAGGTTTCATTCAACAGGAGTAAGGAGAATTCTCGTGGGTGCTGCATGTGAGGCATCAGATCACTGGTGGGCTGGATTTATTTTCTTTTTCTCTGCAATTTGTTGTGCGGGTTGAGATTCTTAGTGTCTGTGTGCCAGTCCACTAAGATGTGACTGAAACTCGCAAGCGTATCTGAGAGAACCTGCCAAATTCCTGCCAGCTGGCAGTAAGTTTGGTGGTCACTTCACTTGAGAGGGGCTGGACTCAGTCCCAGCAATGAAGGGCTCCACTGCTTACCCCATTTCACTCCTCTGAAACAGAGGCACAGGATTAGGAGCACTGATGGTACCATGTGATGACAGTTCCTTTACTCGGTGCTTCCCATGGTGGTCTTTGATTTTCATCCTGCTGTGGTCACAACCCAAAACTCCACAGCCTTGCAGCCAGTGAACAATGCACTCACTGCACTTTCTCCTAGTGGTGAATCAGGCTGACCGTAAATTTTCATTTGCATTGCAATGGTGCTGTGATGTCCAAGTCACAATCATGTTCATACAAACCCAGAACAGTAAACTTTGTTTCAAGAATTTACAGTACCTCATATGATCTTGATTTTTCACCCAACAGCTTTCCTCTTTGGTATAACTCACATCCCAAAAAGTCTGAGTCAAGTCTTTGCACACAGCTAGCCCTGCATGCAAACATCCGACTACCTTTAAACATCCGCAACCAGGTCATTCCCACAGTGCACAACCTGAGGGTTTATGTGTATAGAACTTGCATAGAAAGCCCACCCCAGTCCAAGTGTGCCGTGCCTGCACACTCAGATGCTTTAACAAGACAGCCACTGAGCCAAAGCAGTTTCTAAAAATGCCTGCAGTCATTTACCTATGCAAACTTTAACCCATTTGAAACATAATCAAGCACTGTGGAGCTTGGCTTACCCACTGTTTGCTAAGCATTTATTGATTAAAATATTGGTTAAGGTGCTCGGTGACATTCTGCACCTGGAATGTTGGGTTCTGCTGTTTCCTACTGGAAATAAGGAATTGCTCAGCACTGCTGAAGGTCTGCCCACTGCCTTGTATACACAGGCCTGAAATAATGCAGCAATCACTTTTAGAAATGGCAGGCTTTAAAGCCAAGCTTTGTAGATGTTTAGAAGTGTGCCAGAAGGTAAAAATTTGATTCAACAAAGTTTTTGATAATTACAAAATATTGAAGGAGTGACAATGTAAAACCACTGCTGTTCTGACAGCACGAATGCCGTATTCCTTGCTTACTTCTTGTCTTAATGTTAATAAACGTTTCTTAACTAGAATGAGCCAACGTTATTTGTAGTTTCCAGCATAAATTTAAGTTTTTGTGAGAAATGAACTAAAACAATATCATTTTTGTCAACCTTAAATTCATTGCAACAATGCTCCCCCAAGCTTCCTTCTTATTCTACTGCAGCTGGTTGAGGTTCTACATTTTTCTAACTTTTCCTAAGAACTTAATAGAAAAATGGCACTGTGATGTTATCGATGCCAAGTGTTGAAAGCAGCTAAGAGCCTTCCAGCAGATGTGTCACAAATCATGGTAATTAGCAGTCAAATGACACATGGGATTCCATAGCAATTTCTATAAATGGATTAGTCTGATACAAACAACGATTATAAGAGGTTTTGAATTGTTGTTGATCACAGTTAGATAGGCAAAGAGAACTATTTCCATTAAAATCCATTTAAAATTCACTACTGTCACAAATAACCATTGAAACATGGGGCTATAAACAAAAAAAGTCCTTAATTTCCTGAGTAGATGAACTCATAGTTAAATTACATCAGTTTAGTTCCTTTGAATTTCACATTTCTCCTGCTAAAGGAAAAGGCTTTCCACTGAAAAATTCTGCAACCTTCTCTGGGGGATCACAGCTGAATTAGAATGAGGATGCTTCATTTCCTACTAAAAATGAGACCCTTTGTTACTTAAAACTTTTTATTGCACAAGGTATCTTGTGCAGCACTGTGCAAAGAGTGAGGTAAGACATCCTGAGTGAGTTAATTTCCAAGTAAATGAAACAATGACAAGTACAGATAAGACATTATTTACGTTAACACTACATAAATTCAGATTAGAACCTTCCCTTAAGCCAAGGTATCAAAACCACATTGTTTAGAACTGCAACTCATCCACAGGTCTACTATTTCATGCTACCACAGTTTTGTGAAGGAGTATTAACAGGTGTAGACTGATTCACGTAGGACCAGAAGGAGATCTAAAAAGAGGACAGGGCTGCTGTAATTTTCACACTGTCTTCTGAAGTATTTGATGTTAGAACCAGGATAACCTGGGTGTGCATTCTATATTGCTAAGAAGTGTCTAGAAACAAGATATAGGTTTATTTACAAGCAAAGCACTCACCTTTTCCCGGTTGTTATTTATATATATGAAACATGAGATTTCTGATTCTAATAAAATTAAGCAGATCAAACAGATGTCAAAGCTGCACGGCCAGTCATAACCTCATCACTCCCCAAGGACAGCAAGTTCCAAACCCGTTCCACATCTGCTTTTTGGAGGGGCAATTTGTACAGTTTTTCACTCATCTAATTCTGAATGTCTGACCATATTATTTGTTTGTTTCTTAGTTGGACAACATTGGTGCTATCTGTCGCAGAAGAACGAAGAGCCAACCTGTGAAGGTACTGCTTAACAATTTGTTTCTCTGGTCACGTTGGTGTTTGGGCCCTTCTGCTTTGCAAAGGGCAGGATGCACACAGCTGCATGTAATGCTGTGTATCACACTACAAGTAACCACAAGTGCTGAATACAGTGCCTAACGAGGGCATTTTAAAAATGTCAGTACTTGCTCTATTCATTTTGTACCAGGCAAGGTACAAATACAAAAACACACCGGAGAGAGAACCATCCTAGCAAGTCTGATATAGACAAGCATTTAAATTCTTGAGGACAGAGTTATGAGAAACCCTGATCTTCTTACAGCTGCAGCCTTTCTTTTAGCAGCAGTACCCATGCTGGCTGTGTGCTCCATTGCTCAACACTGTGCCCAGTGATGCCCTTCCCAAGCCTGGCTGTGCTGGAAACAGCATTTCAATCCCAACATCCCCATCACCACAACTCTTTTATTTATTTTTATTCTCCAGTCAACCAGCTAATCACAACAATAGTATAATTTAACTTTACAGCCATGTCTGTGTTCTTATTTTCCTATTTCAGTTAACACTGTTGAAGTATATTAACATTGCTTAGAATACAACAACTACACACTAAGAAAACTCCTTTATTAAGTTTCCACTACCCAAAGACCTTTCTTTCTTTTTATAAAAAAATATTTCCAGATTCCCAAGCAAGTGTGTGTTAGCTGGTGGGTGTTCTGGTTTTATCAAGGATTTCAGTCTACAGAAAAATAATATTTTCTTCGTTTTTAAATAGACCCTCGACACTGGCATGCAGTAGATGCCAACTGCAAAGGAAGCAAACAGTCACCCATCAATATTGTCACCAAAAACGTCATTTATGACAAGAGCCTGACGCCACTGTATTTTGAAAATTATGATGTGAAAGAGACCTCAAAATGGACAATAGAAAACAACGGACATACAGGCAAGTACTGTCAAATACGTTGCGATAGAACTTATTTGCATCTTCACACTGCATCTCCTTTCCCTCCTTCCATGTTCTGAGCAAGCTGTTACCTACCACTGCTTTCACTTAATGGAAAGAAAGAAGCTAGCACACTCCTATTTCAGAAACAAAACTTTCAGAAAACCTGAACCAAGGCTTTGTGGGAACTTTGTTGTCTGATCTCTGGATCCTGAACACAGTCCTTGAGCACTGCAACAGAAATTTGATCTATGTGTCTGTACAGAACTAAGCTTGAGACAGCCAGGGAACCTCTAAGTCAGATAACACCATCTAGAACCAAGAGGCAGGTGGGCACAGAGGTAACAGACTTTGCAGAGGTACGTGGCATTTGCTGAATAATCTTACGTCCTTCACTGCTGGGCTTGCCCTCTCTAACACTTGTTCTGTGTAAGGAAGGATTTTGCTGAACAATACAACCTGGGAGACTCATTCAACCCCTGGCGTGCCATGCTGTGTCTTGCTAGTTCTGTAAATAACTAGCATAAATCCTTTCAGACTTCAACATGGGCTTTATTTTTTCCAAATGAGGAAGTAATACAACGTGGGGCTGTCGATCAGCTCTTTACTGACTCAGTAAACAAGTCTGTGAACAGCAACTCAATAAACCATAATCCCAGGAATAGAAGTTCAACACGGATCGACTTTCTCTTTTCAATCAAGGCAATAGTAACGATGATACTTCAGCCATATTACGCTAACTTACTATTAAAAAATGCAACAAGACATAGTTTATTTTAAAGTTATCCATTGGTATTCTTGAAATCTTAGATGTGTTGTTTTAATGGCTGAATTCTCAGAAGGGGAAGCTGAGGGCTTTAAATACATTCCTCAGCTAAGATGGAGAGGTAGTACACAGACAGCTGGGTAAGTTTTCACCACTGCAGATCCTCATTCAGATCATCGGTGTTTTGACAAACCATAAGAAAAATCCATGATTGATTTTTCACTAATATACAGGTTAATGAATTTCATATTATGACATTTTAGAGTCCATATTACAGTCACTGTGCATAGTAAGTCTTTTACATAAAAATTAATATTAAAAACAATTGTTCAGAACTGCCATCGTTTTCAAACAAGCAAAAGAATTACATTTATATCTGGGCTTTCGAAATTTCTTTCCTTTGTGTGTAACCAATTCCTGTGCTGTGAGAACAACACTGAAACTGCTATTGCTTAAATTGCAGGAGCAATTAAAAGCTCTACATGAGATTAGACTATCATTATGTTCAGTGATGTGCAGACAGTAAAGGTCAGTGCCTCAAAGGTCCTACAACCTAAAGAAACCAAGCCAGCAAAGATACATTAACATCCACATAAAGATAAAACAGAAAAGTAACTGAGTGACTCACAGAATCTTCCAGTTCATCTGGAACTCAGAACTGAAGTGAAATCTCCAGGGCTTTAATCCATCTTCCTCATGGAAAAAAACAGAAGTACCGGCTTTCACGCAGAGACGCTCATAAGCCAGATTTCCAAGCACACACTGGATGTCTCAGGCACACCGCGTGCTTTACACAGGCGATGGCCACTTACAGATAGAAAATATATTTTCTGGGGTAATTTTATTTTGCTATTTAGCAGAGAATTGATCATCACATTGAATAGATAAAATGATTTAATGCTTTGACTTAAGTAGTAGCACCAATCTAAATTAAAGCAGAATCAGGCCCAATTTAAATAATAGTGTCTAAAATAAATGTTACAGCGCAGACAAGTTTGTGCACGTTGACAGGGGGCACTGTGAAGAAGTACAGGATCGACCAAACGAGACGTGCACCTCGAGTCCCTGGGTTGTAACGGCAGTGAACCATCCCCTACTCAAACAAGAAAAGACAATCTATTACCCTGCTTTCTTCAAAATGCAACAGATAACTCTCTGAAGGATAAACAAATGAAAGCCATAGAGGTCTATAAAACACTTTCCCAGAGTAGTCTATAGCAGCATTTATCAAATTTATTTTCTTACATCTGCAGATGAAGTCATGAGTAACTCAGTTCTCTAGCAATTAAGAGGATAAACAAGTAATTCAGAACAAATCCCAGCTAGAAAAGGGAGCAGGAGCTCCAGGTGCAGTGCCATAGGTGAGGAACACCCAAATGCTGTTTCATTTAACCAGAAAGCGGGCTGTGATATTCCACCTTTTCATCTCCAATCTGTCTCAGCTAGCATGTTTTAATAAATTCAGATTCTGAAGAATTGAATTTGTGGAACACTTGGTATGAAAAATCAAACCTGAACTTCAGGGTAAATTTCAATCTCTCCGGTGTATTAATGTATGATGGGAACATTTTAGAAACTATTTATTCATTTTCCCCAGTTAAGGTAACACTGAGCACGCACCCTAAAATTGAAGGCGGAGGTCTGAATAGAAGATACAAGGCGGTAGAATTCCATCTGCACTGGGGAGTCCAAGAGGAACAGCTCTACTTTCCTGGGTCAGAACACAGCATAGATGGTGAAAAACAAGCTATGGAGGTAGGTGGGACACCCAGTAGATTTGGGCCATAATTAAAATACTTTGTATTTTTATGACACTGTGAGAGAAAAAGTATTGGGCAATTTTCCTATGAATCACCAACAAGTGGAAATAAAGAATCTGGGACACATTGCTCACTAATCAGAACACCAAGGAAAACATGCTGAATTTACGTAACAAGGGCACAGTTTTGATAGCAAGTCTGGAGTTACGCAGCTTTTAGGGAGAACTATCTCCAAGTCTGCATAGTCTGATTACGCTCATATGTTTATTCAGACTATGTATTCCATTCCCGGACTGCAACAGTGAACTAATCGCTTTACCTGAGAAAAATAAAAGTCTCTCCAAGTCAAGGCAAGTTGCCAGTGCTGGTGTGCATGGGTTGGTGGAAGGACATCACCACTCACTGTCAAACTGAGTAAAAGTTCAACTGTTCCACTGCACAGCCTGAAAACGGAGGGTTGCTGCAGTCCACAGAGCACTTATCTTCTGGTACATGGGTGGGGAAGCAGCTCTTGCTCTACTAAAGCCAAAGTGCAGAGAAACAGCCAGACTACACTTAAAACTAACTGCAGAGGAAAGCAATCACATCATTGGCCTTAACTTTTAACTTAGCTGTTTTGTTACAGCTTCATATTGTCCACATAAGAGAAGATGCTTTGGATTTAACAGATGCAAAGAACTATGCAGATGGTATAGCTGTGCTAGCATTCTTTATAAAGGTAGGTGGCCAAATTCTACTTCTTTCTCTCCAATCTAATAGCAAGTTGGCCATGTACCACGATGTCAATATTACATTATTCCAAGACCTAAACCTTCCTAAAATTCTATGGACATGCAATGCCAGAGCGTGGTTCCTTTATCCTTTTCTATATTCCACTTGCTGCTGTTACCTTTGTGAATCTTGACTGCCACATTCACAATTCATTTAAAATAACCACTTGCTGAGGAATATATGATCTGGAATAAAAATGTTTCCATTTCAGATTGATGAAGAAAATAAAAACTATACAACTCTAATAAGTGAATTAGATAATATTCTACAGAAAGGTAAGAAACTTGGCTTGTTTGATACACATATCTATTTACTTTGAGCATATATTCCACACGGCAATTCAAGGTCCAATCCCATCCTGGTTATAGTAGAGGTTGTTACTGAAAATTCACAGGCAAAGAATAAAGGTTGGTTTGTCAAGAACTCAGAGCATTGGAGGTGGGAGAAAATCTAGTTCTCAATAATTGCAGGTGAAGAACACCTAAGCACCAGAATGAGTATTTCTGTTTCTGCAGAACAAAGCAAAGTGAGAAGAAAAGCATGCAGAAGAACGTTTTAACAAAAAAACAAATGTTTTTTATAATGAGAGGTGTTCATATTTTGAGTTCTGTGGGATTTTGCAGGCAGTGGTCATAGACTTCACAAGCAATGCATTGCAGCTGTGCCAGCAAGCCTGGGGAGAGCACTTGGGGACAAGAACTTACACATGCATTAGCTGCAGGTGCATTTGAAGACATATATGAACAACACCTTCAGCTGTGCTTGTTAAAAACAGCATTTCTGCCTGGTTTGCCTAGACACGTCATCACAGATGGAGCCGTTGCCGCTGAATTCTCTTCTCCCACCGACATCCGAACTTGAAAAGTACTATCGGTACGAGGGCTCCCTCACCACTCCTGACTGCCACGAGACGGTCATCTGGACAGTGTTTGAGAAGCCAATTCAACTCAGTTTATGGCAGGTGAGTCTCAGAGGGATGCTCTGAAAGATCTGCTTCCCGTGATTTTCCTGCTTGCCTGCTCACTCGCATGAGTTAACTCAGGCCTGTTAGTTGCTCCACTGCTTATGGAATCACAGAACAGAACAACAAAGAACGTTCCCAGTTGGAAGGGACCAGCTCCATGAGCTCTGGCAGCTCAGGGCTGTGCTCCTGCCCTGGGGAGCCTGCCGTGCCCACCGCTGTCTGGTGTAAAAAAGTTTCCAAGGTTTTGTTGCTATGACAAACAGACACATGTCAGCATTAGGTTAAATCCATACACACTCCTAATGCCAGATTTGACAGCATCACTTAATAGCTCTCTTAAATCAACTCTCAAAAAAGAGGAACAGGAGACCAAGTCATGACTGTCTCTAAAATGCATGTTGCTCAGCTGACAGACTGTATGATTAAAACAATCAAGATGTCGTGGAATGGAATCTCAGCAATACTAGTTGGGTAAGAGTCAGCACCTTCATTTTTGCTTGTTATTTGCAGTGTACTCAATCATTTTACTCAAAGAGCAAGGCTCGGCCTCAATACTCACTCACATCTCACTCCTGCGCCAGTTTCTAAGCAAACAAAGAAATGAGTCACATAAACCTAATCCTCTTACGTTGTATCCCTGTGATGTGACAGACAAGGACAGAACGTGTGTGTCACAAGGTCTGATCTAACCAAGTGCTTGGGCTGGACAAAAAGCATTCAGCTCACACAGGAAGCCCATGTGATTTCCGACTCTGAAATCAGTGGGTCACCTCCGGCAGCAGCCTCCAGCACGGTGCTTCCTGTAAGGTTCAGCACATCCACACAGATCAAAACAACGCCACAGAATAAGGCACTGCGGCTATAAGAGCTTATCATCCCCAGGGTTCCACAAAAAAAAAAAAAAAAAAAAAAAAAAAGGATTTTACAATTTTCTTTTTCCAATGTCTGCAGGTTTCCCAGTTCTCATCAGTTCACTTCGGAGGGACGAACTCAACGCTCATGTCTGAAAACTTTCGGCCTGCTCAGTTTCTGAATGGTCGATATGTGTACTGGTCCGGTGCCAGCAGCCTCCTGCCTCCTGCTCATGTTTTAATGTTGGCTCTGATCCTTCTATACCTCCTGAATTCTCTCTTCCAATGAATAATTCTCACCTCATTCAAGGTTCTGGGCTTTTATTCTGTTTTGGTTTTGTATCAAGTATTCCCTCTAACCACTGATTCCTTAATTATATCTGAATACAGAACATTCTCTCCTCCTCCTTCGTACATTAACCAACAATTTCTGTTGCTGCTCCTATATAAAATGAATTCATGGCCTAAATTACAAAAATCCTAAAGAACTGTAAGATTAAACTACGAAGATTCTCATTTTAAAAACACTTAAAGAAAACGTTAGGATGGATTATCAGCAATCCTGTGGTTTTAACACAACACTGGAAGGACGCTTGATAAGTTATACGGAGGACTTTCAGGAGGAATCTCTTCTTAAGTGCCTGGGAGGGTGTTTTTTTTCTGGAGTATGTTTACATTCAACACTGCGAGTCAGGAAGGAACGCCTGGAGGAATTCTTGTTATGCCTACATTGTCCTGTATGAAGGTAAAATACAGAGCATAGAGATGCTCACAGAATTGAACAACTCCTGGGTCATTCTATCCAGTGAAAGAAATGACAAACTCACCTGGACTAACACATTTTCCCCCTTCCTCCTTCAGAGTACCCAAAAGGTTAACTCTTAGGGAAGGATACTGCATTTCTTACATGCAGTCTACTGACTCTGCAATCCAAGTTTCTCTACTAAATCTATTTATTCAGCCCAGTATGATGTTCTAGTCCAGGATGCCCGTGACTGATACAATGTGCTATAAAGAAAAAGGGAAGCTTGCACACATATATGAGCTGCACATCTGCAGAAATTCCCTCTTTGTAGAGCTGTGTTTGGAGCACAAGACTTCCAAGATCCTTCACAGTTTTCATTTCTATAACGAAATGGAACAGTTCAAGAAATGGCTCTTTCCAGTATCACTTTTTTAGAAACACTTAAATTTCAGTTTGAACATCTCAGAGTGAATATTCCCACAATTATTTAAAGCATAACATACCTTCAAAATATTCATGTATGGTTAACATTCATAGTTTCAGTCAGAAGATTTCAATTTGAATTGGTTTCTTCAGCTCTTACCCAGTTACATTCAGGAACACTCAACATACTGGAGAATGGGATTTCCTTGCACTGTTCCAGCTCTCTTTCTGAAGACAGACAGAACTGACTGCTTCCTTCAGCTAGTGCCATAAGCATTGCAGCTGCTTTGAGCATTTTAGATTTTGGCCATCCCAGGATGACATTTCATTCCAGAGGATGACTACTTTCTTTAGGGCAATGTTTGCAAGGAAGTCTCTACGTTACAGCTACACAGTCATTTTCAGGACGATATGACAGTGTGACTAACTGCAGATCACCAAAGGAGAAAAGTTATTTTCATATTTAATAATTAATAATATGAGCTTAAAAAAAAACCATGGGAAATCAGATTTACCTTGTTATGTTTAGAAGAATGGTTAGGACTTTAACTGTATTTTTAAGTAACAGAAAATCTTTGGAGAAGCAAACAAAAAAGAAAGATTAAAACTGAACGTACTATATATTCTTTGGATTGAGTTTTTATTTATTTTATCTTTGCTGAAGAAAAACCCATGCGACATTCATTAAGAAAAGGAATATGCTTCTTTTTTCTATTTTCTTCACAAGTTTTAGGGTTGGGTTTGCTTTTTCTCAGGGTGGTTTGAGGGAAAGGGGGGAGCTGTACTACACTGGGACATTTCTGATGTCAACAGGCTCCAGGAGCTTTTACTTCAGCTTGGCCATCAAAGTATCACTTGTCCCCCAACAAAATAGCTTTGAGTGCAGTACCTTGCTCACCAGACCTAGTGACCACTTCCAGCTCATTAGGTAGAGGCCATGCAGGCTTCTTACAAGACAACAAATAGTACCATGGATCTACCCAGTATAACCACCCATGCAGCCAGGAGAAATGCACCTCTCTCTTTTGCTCATAACTATTTTCATTACATATCTCAATATTCTGCAAGTAGAGAACATGTCAAGAAATGATCATCCTAGTCCTATCCTCAAAGACAAACGCAACCTAAGTAATTTCACTTCAGCAGGTGCCACGAACATGGCTTATTCAGTGTGCAGAACTGTGTTTCAAGCAATGGCAGTGCATTCTGGACAATATACTCTTCTTGACGATATTTTTTATTTTTCCCTCACATTTTTGGTGTAAGACACATAGGTGTAGTACGCTTTTTTTTTTTCATAGAAATTAAAGCATGGAGACCTCATACTTTTCCATTTTTGCAGATTATCAGTCCTCTCTGACTGTGGTCTCCCTGACAACAGCTCCATGTCCCCATACCTAGACTTATCAGACATTAATGCACACCTGCTTATTTCCAGCTGTTACAGCAGGTCACAATTACAGAAATCTTTAAGCTGTCCCAAGCCTCACCAAGCTCCATAAGTTTAACTCAACTTGTGAGCTTCATGGAAGTTGTTAGAATGCATGCAACACAAACAGCAGAGGGCCATGTCTACAGTCTGTATCTGTGTTAGTGATCTAGTTCAATTTGTTCTTTGTTAGAGGCTCCTTGGCAACCAAGTGGACACATACTGTTCTGGTGCTGAGTATGACAACAACAGGACTAGCATTAATGCAGTAAATCAATACAAATCTATAGCAACAGCCATTCAGTCAAAAACATTAAAAGACAGAAAGGTTTCAAGTGGAACATTTGGCTTTCTTTTGTGATAGTCCTTATGGAGAAGTAATTGTTATTCACAGCTAGCTTCAGGAACAGATTTTCAAGAATTGTATCCACATGAATTTTAGTAGGAAATCTCTCCCAAGAAAACAGGAAACTACAGAAACTCCTAAAGAACTAATAGCTGACCTGTGATGCTATAGGAGAGAATTGAGAAATACTAAAAACAAAACAAAACAAGAAATAGTGTTTTCCTACTTAGAGGCTAACACAAAACTTTGTTGATGCATTTTACATACATTGGACCCAGGGTTAAAGACCATTATATCCCAATGTTTAGTCACATAAACTAATAGAAAATGAAACAACGCTAGAAACTAAAGTTCTCTAGAGTGGTATATTTTAGGTTTAAAGCAACAAAGATAGCAGTGGCTTTGACATTCATGACTATCATTTGGATTTCAGAAAGCAGTATACAAACAGCATGCGTGTTCAAAACGGCAGATTCCTCTCACAAAAGAGTTTGGAAGATTATTTTGGGAGATTACCACAAGATTGGAAATAGCTAATGAGAACTCCATCCTTCAGAGGCAGTAGGATTTGGGTACAGGGTTTACCTGTGATGGCTGCCAGGAAAGAGCCAATTCACTGTAAGGCTGAGCAGTAGGAATACAGCACACTTCAGCGGGTCTTGTCCATGTCTAAAAGCCCAAAGCGCTCCTTCTCCAGCCTTGGATCAGACTGATCTGAGTACAGGCTTTTAGCGGCTGAGAGATGGAGAAACAGATCTGCACCAGGAAAGCAGCCCAGCTTCACACCCACCTGACAACCAGCGTGGAGAGGGAGGCACTGACAGAGAATCCCCAGGCTGCACGTTTCACAGAGCCCCAGGCTGGGGCTGAGGGCTGGGCATGGCACTGCGCAGTGCTGGGCTGCAGCACCTGCTGCTGCCAGAGCTGGAACCAAAAGCAAGGGCTGCCCTGCTGCTTGTAAATAACCTGAAGGAAAAATGGTGGAGGGAAAGAAAAATAAAGGAAACATTCTCTCAGGACGGCGGGGTGTTGGGCAAAGCAGAGACACCCACAGCTCCCACCACTGCTGGCGGCCATTTTCTGAGGGCCTTTCCAGGCTGAGGGGAGGCCCCAGTCTGTCCCCTCAGATCACAAAAGTACCACAGCTTCCCCGCCTTGCTGCCTTGCCACCCCAGGTTGTACAAACGTGATGGCAAACAACAAGCTGCAAGAGGATTTCCTCCACTTAGAGCTGCTTTGGGCTGGCAGGAATGGACGGCCCTCGGTACACAGGGGACATTTCCAGAGCACTTCCACTTGGCAGCACTCTGAGGCCACGTGTGCCAGTGCCCATCGCCATGGACTTACGGGCTGCTGCGTTAGCACCAGTCACTGCCAGCAACCCAAACCATGCAGACAAGAGTCCTCCCCAACTGCACGAGTAAATCGAGCTGCCTCTCTATTAAAATCATTCACTGGCATTTTCGAGCCTGAACTGTTTCACAGAGGCAGGTTAAAAAGGAATCAGAGGAGATGGAAGCAGGGAAAAGTCTCCAGGAGCAAGAGGGCAGCAGGAGCAGCAAGCATGGTGACCTCGGCAGGGCCCTCCTGAACACAGACACAGCTCCCCCAAACCAACTGCTGAGAATGAGAACATGCAGTTTAGTACTCAGTTTAAATGCATTTCCCCCCCATACAAACCTAATTTCAGGCTTCTAACAGAAATAAATGAATATATTCCATAAAACTTGATTGTAATCGGTCAAAAATGTAAAATTATGAATGAAATTAACTACAGCAATTAATCAAAATGTCTCTGGGAGATTATTTTCTTTCTTAGAGTTGAATGCAAATTACATTTAAAGTTATAATGTAAAGGGTATAAAGTTTTCAAAGATTGTGATGAGTTTGGGCTATTTTCTAATCTTCTATTGATTAATGTATTCTAAAACAATTCAGACATTTAGTACTCAAACAGTTTGAATTTAAAAAGAAAAGAACAGACATCACTTTGTTACCTGTGGCATTTGTTTCCTTATAATCTACTTTCATGTAGTTAAATTTCCCAGTGCCTTTTTCTTTTTTTGTCATGTGAAAGAAACCTCACAGAAAAATACATTACTTTCCATCTACTAAAATTATGACTACACCCATCATGACTACACCCAGTCAATTCCCAGGTTACTGAGCAGTCATTGTTCCCAGCATGTGAGAGAAGTGCCCTTGGTTAGGTTACAGATGCATGCAGTTATGAGGAATTTATTAGAGAGGAAGACAGAAGTTTTACATCTTGCTGATTGCACTGATGTTGAGATTAAGGCCTGAGTAAATCATAGCCATTCTCTACCAGGAAAGATGTATTTCTAAAAACCTAGAATCATTTGACTTTGCTGTACACATCACCTGAAATACTTCCTTACAAGTGGTAACACACAATATTTTGCGTCATGGAATCCAAGAGTTCCTGTTGAACCTAGGAATAAATCTAAGAGGAAAACAGCGATCTGTTTAAATAAAGATGCTGCTTAATGAAGGAGGAAGGCACACAGACAGCCAACAAGGTGCTGAAGGCTCCCCGTCCTGCTCAGGTAAACTCACTGCAGCCAACAGCTCTGGGCTTTGTGCAGCACTTCATTCCAAACATGAATAAGCAAAGGGAAAGACTTACATTGCCCCAGATCACTGACAGAACTGAACCATTTTTGGGAACAAGCATTGTGACAGTTAGATAAAGGCTCTGAAGCAGGTTGTAAGCAGAAATATTGCTGCAGCTCCATTTACTTCGATGATTTTAGTGCAATTTGAGTGGCAGACAACAGAGTGTCTTATCAAGCAGTGCAAAAAGAGACTCCAGTGTCACCCATATAAAAATACCCACACTGAAGCAGGCTCTTATTGTCCTGACTGTTATTACTGCAGTGCCAGAGCATAAACGGGATGTTAAGATTTATGATCCCACAGATATGTCTACACAAGTTACAATACAAGACTGATTTATTTTAAAAACAGCTATTAAAGCTCATAAAATGCAAACATTCCTGTTGCATGGGAAGAAGTCAGTGCGATTTTTATTGCAGCCATAGGAATTATTTGAGATTGTGACAGGGAGAAGATGGCCGGGCAACAGATAAGTCACAGCTCGTGATTCATAAACGCCTCACATGAAGACTGTTAAAAAGAAAAAACACACCTGAGTTTTTCAGGAAGACCCAAATGACTTCAGCGGCAGACGCAGCTTTCAGATGGAGATGACGGTTTGGTGAAACCTAGTGGCTCGATTCAGTAACGCGGGGCAATGCACAGAGCTTTGTAAAACGGCTGTGAGATAAAAGCATGCACTTCAACAGGTCCTTTTCTAACTCTGGTTAAGACATAAATGGCTAAGCTAGCCTCAGCTTCATCAGGCAAAAGATCTTCCCAAAGCTTTCAGCTTTCTGGTTAACCAAACTAAACAGAGCTTAAATGTAAAAAGAGAAAGCTTAAAACACAACAAAATTATTTTACGTTTTTTGGTACAAGTTTATCCCAGCAGAGCAGATGAAAAAGGTGCAGTATTTTGCTCCTCCATTCAGAAAATCAGTAAGAACAGCACAGTAATAAAATCTGCTGGTCGCATGGGCAGCAGCTGTAAAACCATCAGTATCCACGCCTGCTTTGCTATAAGGCAACTGTCAGATTCCTGCCAAGAGAGCTGAAATGGAATGATTAACACATCCTGCACCCTCATTATAGAGCACTCAATTATCCCAGGGTGCTCCATGGGAAACATCATTTTCAGCACAGTGCTGTATCACAGTCTCCACACTGCAAACTCTGTACAACCTTCCCAGTGCCAGCCTGCTTGTGTGCTCCTGACTCTGATGCTGG